TTGACAATTGAGACGCGGGACCAAAGAGCCAGAGCTCAACCCACGGAATCACAACTAAGTGAGTACATATATATAACCCATCATAATGAGACAGACATTACAGTCAAATTAGCGTGTAACAAGGGAGATGTTGAATTAGATCTAGGTAGCCCAATCTCTACTGTCAAAACTATATATTTTCAAACACTCAAGTCAGATAGGAAAGAAATTACTGACTCCCAAGTACCTGAAAGCACCAGTATAAAAAGCTATAATTTGTTCAGATCAGAAACCTATATTTATGGGCAGCACAAAACGTCCACCAGACTGTGCGACACAGTGGTTGCCAGGATCAGGTTGGATTACTGTTACCTGTGGCAGGTGGCTACAGGTGACTGATCTCCCAATCCTGAGCACTCTGTGCAAACTCTGTGAGCAGGAACTGCGGCATGATCTCCCACACTACATCACCGAATGCCCAGTTATTAGACCATTCAGACCCGTTGGCATGAGGTACCTGGAGCTTTGCAATTACTTTATTCACCCACGTGTTCTTGAAGAAGTTACCTGCACTGGCAAAATTTGCCAGTGCAGACTACTTATCACATGCCTCTGAATGACTAACCATCCTGTGTGATGGTAATTTTTTAGCACCAAGTAGCTAGCTTTTGACACACTAATCCCCCTTCATATAGTCTAGGGTAGCTGCACAAATGCAGATGTACCTAGTGTATTAATAAAAAGAATTAAAATTCCCTTTTAAAACTTACGTTCAGATAACAGATTTGTATTCTGTTTACAATCGTTTGGTTACAGTGGAGAGTGGATACACGGAGTGTGTGTGTGTGTGTGTGTGTGTGTGTGTGTGTGTGTGTGTGTGTGTGTGTGTGTGTGTGTGTGTGTGTGTGTGTGTGTGTGACATGACGTCTCTGTCTCCACCACAAGGAGGTAGATAGAGATAGGGATGACATGTTTGTACAGGAAGGGTAGAGGCAGAAAAAGTGTGTGCGCGCGTTTGAGTGCCTGGTGGAGGCAAGGAGGGGGGGGGGAAGGGAACTATCAGGGGGAAAGCGCCAAGCCATTACGACTACCACTGGGAAGGGGGTTAGGATACGGATTTGGGATGGGACGGAGGGTAAGGAATGGATGGGGAAGATGGGGCGGGGATGGAGAAGGATTGATGGAGATATATTGTATTCAAGATAGTTACATCGATGTCGGGAAAACATTAATGGGTTTGTTTTAGGAATGAGAGGAGTGACAGAGAGAAGAGTGTGTGTAGGGAAAGATGTTGATAGTGTGAGACTGTATTAACTGTCATCGGCTATTTTCTTTAGTGTAGACTTTGGCAATTTATGTTTATTTTGCCTTTTTATTCAGTCCTCACTTAAGTTCAGACCCCGAAACAATGTTGTTGTGACAATCGTTTATCGAAGAAAACGCAATATTTTTCAGAGCAATATTGTTAGTGGTCTAAAAAAAATTAATTATTTATGAATGCGTACTTTAGGATATTGTAAGCTTTCCGATGACCTTTATATACTTTAAATGTCAAGGTTATATCTCTGTACTTCCGACTCACTGTTCTACCCAGGTACACACTGGTACTTTATAACCCACTATCCCTCCAGGAGTACACATGAGTACTTTCTAATCCACTGCCTTTCTCAGGTAGAAAATAGTACTTTCTAGCCCACTCACACACACAAAGGTGTGTCTGTGTGTATTCACCTAGTTGTATTCACCATGTTGTGCTTGCGGAGGTTAAGTTCTGCTCTTTCGGCCCGCCTCTCAACAGTCAATCAATCAACTGTTACTAATTCACCCCCACCCACACTCACACACAGGAAGCAGCCCGAAACAGCTGCCTAACTCGGAGGTACCTATTCACTGCTAGGTAATAGGAGCATCAGTCGCCATCACCGGGGATTGAACCTGGACCCTAGGATTACGAGTGTGTGTAACGAGTCCTCGTAAGGATTACGAGTGTGTGTGTGTGTGTGTGTGTGTGTGTGTGTGTGTGTGTGTGTGTGTGTGTGTGTGTGTGTGTGTGTGTGTGTGTCTGCCTGTACATACCTATCAGTGTCTACAGGGAAACTAGAACAAGCTATTAAATGCCCCGCCTACCAGATTTGTTGTACCTGTTCTGTTATAATTTAAATACCCTATTTCTCGAATTCTTAATGGAATCTATCTCTGAAGTTGTGGATGGAGGGAGGTTCCACGTGTTTTTTCAGCCCATTCTACTTGTTGACTACCAATACAGGGTACGAATATTTCCTTACATTGTTACGACTCATTTGCATTTCCATCACCCACTTAAGTCGTCTTGTATGTGTGTGTGTGACTGTGTGCCGCTCCCTCTGTGTCTGTTTCTGTGTATATGTCTCTGTCGCTGCCTCTGTATCTGTGTTTCCCTATGTGTGTGTGTGTGTGTGTGTCTACCCAGCTCGCTCATTCCACTAGGAGGCAGTTCTCACCGTGGGAGAGGGATCGATGAGTTTTGGATTCCTGCCAAGCTTTTCTCTGGCCAGCTGACGACTGGTGGGAGTGTTGTTGTGGTCCGCTCACCGTCAACCACTACCACCATGGTAGCCACCACCACTACAATCACTAACACTGCCTTCGACACCACTATCATCATTAACACTGCCTTCCACACCACTATCATCATTAACACTGCCTTCGACACCACTATCATCACCAACACTGCCTTCCACACCACTACAATCACCAACACTGCCTTTAACACCACTACAATCACTATAACCACCCATCGCAACCAAAATCAATAATTTGATATATTTACCTGTTATTATATTGCTCTACTGTCTGATGTGGAGAAAATCCTCCCTTGGCCATGAATGTGAAACAGTACTGTTACGGTGATGATGCTAACCGAGTATATGATTATATTTTATACAAAATTCTAGATAAAGTTTATAATTATAGAAATATTTAATAGGCCATTACCTATAGCAGACAAAAGCGGTGGATATAACCTAGATGGTGGCTTGATAAAAGATAGAAGGACGGAGCTGAAGGAACGGTGCCAAACCACTTCGGTCATCGTGAAGTTGTGCTGATTCAGCAGGTTCTCTCGATTTGCAACAACGGAAAACATCTAACCTATCCAGTAACGTACGAACGCATACAGCGCACCGAATCTATGGAGTGCTATGCATAGAATACGTATACATTTGTGAACAGTTACTTCTCATAGTAGGCTGCATTTATATCGTTATTACCATAACGTACAAAATTTGATGTAATAGTTGAGAGGACGGATCGAGAGTTGAGGGTGTCAAATCGTCTCGTGGGAGATCCAGCCCTGCTACTACCTGCATGCTTACCCTGAATGCTAGTCATGCTTACATATGCTGTAGATGTGAAAGCTGGAGGTGCAGAGCTGGAGTCCGACTGCACGGTGAGGCAGTGAGTGGAATTACAAGATAATTGTTGACACTGATGAAATTTTTTAATATTTTTTCTTAAATATAGTAATGTAATATTGATAGCAGTTAAGAGCAGTTTGAAGAGTTCAAATTATGATTGTAAATGATATTTAGAAAATTTGATGGAAGAAAATGGAAATTAATTTGGTGAATAAAAGAAAAATTAAATTAATAAAGAAATGGAGAAGGATGTGAAAGCATACATTGTAGACCAGCACATAGAAAGAATGTCTAAAGGTGGAAAGAGAGGAACTTAGAAGAAAATTGAATAGTTTCTTACTCAGTTTATTCAATGTTGTATTTGTGTATTAGAAATATTTGTTGGGAATGTTTGTCAGTTTGAAGTTGGAGGGGAGAAGAGGTGAGGAGTGAACAAGGGGAGGTTAGGGAGAAGGGAGAAAATGCGAGAACATGACATGGAAGAGGGTGGGAAAGAGCAGGAAAGAGGGTAGGGGGAGGGAAGATGGAGGATGTAGAAAGAGGGAAGAAGTCGAGTAGATTGGGGATTGGGAGAGACTATTCCGAACACTGCTGGGGTACCTCCTAGTATAAGAGGGAATGTTTGTTTGTCAGAGAATGGATGGTAAACGCTTGGGCCTATCTTAACTTGGCAGGGAAAGTGGTCTGGGGTTCAAGACGAACATAGGCTGGTCGGAGTCGCCAGAATTAAATAAGGAACAGCATGCCACGTGGCACTGCCACTGGCACTGTTAGAGAAAACTTTAAAAAATCAAAACATTATTTCTTTGTAGTAATATGAAGAATTATACAGTGATCTCAGTAAAATTCCAATAAACTTTCTAATCATACTTTGCCCATAGTAGCATACAACAGACAATCATCCCACAGCTTCAGAATGTTTCTAAACCCTTGCCTCTTGTTCGAAGCCAGAGGTAAAACTATTTTATTATGTAAACATTTCAAAGCGCTAGGTTCCTCATATATTCTTGATATAATTTAGTTATATTAATTTAAATAAACTAATTTAATTTATTTTAATAACGAAAATCACTCTGATTTGGGGTGAATCAGTCTGGGTGATTCCCAGACGCCTGCCTTAACTGCCACGGGGGTCCAAAAGTTGACCAACCCAGAACGCTATTGAATTTTTATGGGAAGTTCTGGAGGCCGTGAACCGTACCCCCAACCAGGGGTTTTACAGTCAACCTGACCCCACTCGAGCCTAAGGTAATGGCGTTCACACTCTGACGCCACACTTAGATCGTAATGAATTCCCAATGGCATGATATATAATTGAATATCATTTTCAGACCATGGAGTGATTTGAATTCGCTATCTGGTGATTCCCAGACTCCGAATTCCCAGAATTCCCTCCCCTAGAAGTTTTAATTAATGCAGTCTTATGAGTTTCTTTGTGGATTTTATGTGTACATGTATGGATATGTATAGAAAATTCGACTAAGTTATTATGGTTGTCAAATTATATTATAGAATATTACGCTTGTCAGAACAGGTTGCATAACCTACGATAGATAACACAGCAGAAGCTGCTGTTTAACCTACTTATTACTACTATTAAAACGGTCCACTTTTCATTATTTTCAGGCGAGCCTTGTTACATCGGAATGGACATAACCATCGCGTCCTTCGACTCCATTTCCGAAGTAAATATGGTAAGTTTTTTTTTCACTAACATATATACATACATGCACACACACACACACACAGATATATTTACTTATATATCCGTGTGTATGTGTTTGTGTGTGTTTGTATGCACGAGTGTGTGTGTGTGTTTGTGTTGGTTTAACAACCATATACATTCTTAAGAGTAAACATATGCATGCTATAATTTTATTATACTAAGTATCAACGGAGGATAAAGTGTACTAACTAATGAAGTATTCCGACCTACAGGACGGTTGCTATACAGTTAATTTTTCATCCTACTGAGTTTCATATTATCAGGAACTAAATTTGGGGAGTTATAAATCACACGAAGAAATGTGTATATATGTTGACAGGACCACACACTAGAATATGAAGGGACGACGACGTTTCGGTCCGTCCTGGACCATTCTAAAGTCGATGATATGTATATATGTGAAATGTGTGTATAATAATATAAATTGAAACTCAAAATAACGTGAATGTAACGCTCAATACACAAAGAACAAGGAGGGGGTCGGACCTCACGTATTCCTACACACAACACACAAGTCACAAGACATTGAACGTCAGTAAAAGCAAGTAATCTGGAGGTACTGTTCTGCATTAATATTTCACGGTACAATTTTTTGCGAACTATTTTATATAAAAAGCCCGAAAAACTAGGAGCAAATGCACTCATTAGACAGGTACATTGGTGGGAACCGACAAGCCTACCACGAGTGTACTTAATTCTCATTAAAAATTCCGTTGTTAGTTGCACTGGATGTGTGTATAAAATTCCATGAAAGATTGTAATAAGTTCAATGTTGACCAAACAGCTAAACATCTTGACAAGAGAATTAAAGAATAAATATAGAATTAGAACTGGTCAAGAGTCTCATGCATTTTTTTGTTCACTTAAGAGAATGTAATCATTCAATTGACTGGGCATAATTCATGCAAAATTGTGGAGAGTAAATTAGTTACTGAAAGAAATATTATTGAATCTGCATTTATAAAGAGTAGTGACTTAGATAATATTAATGTAAGTCAAGGATTACATAAATTAGATAACTTTATAATTAATAAGATCTGTGATAGGTATAAAATTATGCAAACAATAAGTGTATGTGTAGCACATTCCAAGAATGAAGCAATGTCCAGTTAATATCTCTTGAATACCCCCAGTTAATATCCACTTAATCATTTCACCTTTATGTCACCTCCTTTAATAATCGATATTATAGCTTATGGATCTTTGTCTAGTCAGGTGTAGTTGGGTATATAATCCTAAACTCCTTAGTCATTTGTCAGCATTTCCTTGACAATGTGGAGAAACACGAAAACGTTCGGAACTTTCATTTAATTTCCCAATCAGTTTAGTAAGAATTTTCTGACAACTGAATAAGCAGAGTATTAAATAATTGGCCACCATAAAAAATATTTATGGTGCAACATTCAAAATTTCAAAATCTGTTGATGGTGGACCTACATAGAACCTATTGCAGTCTTTAGAAGGCATTTTCTAAATGACACAATTATTACTACGACAGCTGTTTCTAACTAATAATTTTTAAACTGTAATTATTGGCATGCCTATTATTAGGAGCAGTTGTTGGTGTTTAGAGCTGTTCCATATCAAGTCACTTTTGATGGTAGACAGTTGTGTATATACACGAATGTTTTAAAGGGGAAAATAACAGTGAACAGACTAGTATGGAAATTTATAGATGCAGATCGGTTCTGTGACTAAGATAATGTTTTGGTGACAGAAGTGTAGCTGATCCAAGTAAAGGGTCCCCCGGGCGTGTCCCCTGCTCCTTGTGGCCTCTTGTTATGGCATACCAGCCTACTTTCCGTTGTGCTTCATAACCCAAACGATCTCCAGGCAGAGCAACAGGAATCCAACATCGAGGAACATGCTACAAGTCTTATGCAGTCTAGCAATGAGACAGAATCAAATAGATATTTGGAGCTGCAACTGTGAATAGCAGCTGCAACACTCACAGAAAGCGAGGATAAATTATAGGCATGCAGAATCTGCTCATGGGGAGGAGATAAGTGGCAGTGTTGACAACAAAGCGAGAATCCGTGTAAAGAATGCGGACGTGGGCTATGGTAGACTCACACAGCCCGGGGAACGCCCACTCAGGCCTCTTATTGCTTTCCGAGCTGACTACGTGAGCCTGGCATTCCCAGCTGGAAAAACGACCCAAGCTAAGAGCTTTTAGTTTGGAAGTGGTCTACTGGGCAATAAGGATATACTGTACAAGGATGGCGATCGTTTCAATTTGATTATCAGTGTCTGGAACGACAATGATCCTTCCCTCTACAAAATTGCTTCTTTGGAAGCTTACATATAAATGTTAAGAGTGCATTAAACTGTAAACTAATTAACAATCACAAAAGTAATGGTACACATTATCAAAAATTTAAATTACAAACTGCAAATAGCAATTTTCTACTGAATAACACATATGCACGATGTGCTGTACTTAAAGCCGACCTGATACTAAAGCCTACAAGTAACACTGCTCTGCTATGTATGGATGACTTTAATGTTCGACACATTGCTCTTACGTTGTTCAATGTAACAATAATGGAAGAGCCATCTTTAAATATCTGTTTATAATATTACTATGTATGATTCCGACAAACAAACCTATTTGTTGGGAGATACGTTGGATTATGCGCTTAGTACAGTCTAGCAGAGAGCAACTTTACAGTTCAGTACATTCCAGAAGTAGTAAGCGATCCTTTTAATACATTGTGAGTACATCGTAGTGAATATTAGGGTCAATCCCCAACCTAGGAATAAAACTCCAATCTCAAACCGAACTTTAAGGCTGACATACACAAGTGGTACACTGAGTATACTCTTTTATCAGTTGACCACTTTTAGGTGATCTTCTCAGTATCATTACCGGTTATTATCATGGGTTAAATTAAGGAAAAACAATCATTCTTCCTCATGCACAAATGATCCTATTATTATTATTATTATTAAAGAACGTGCTAAACTGCTTCAGCTTGCTGACAGTTATAAATAAAACAAGAATGCCGAAAATTTACTAAGATTCCTTGAGAGTTTTTTTTACGAACATAAGAGTCAAATTAGGAACCCATGTTAGGAACAGTACAAGGCATCAATAGAACTATAACTTTACCGAAAATGTGAACAAAATTAAAAATATTTAGAGGCATTTTAAGCAACTCTGTTCCCTCAATCCTCCACAAAAAGACTCCTTACAGTGTGCGGCTCATTTGTTGTGCCAATTATCTTGCAAAATTGAATATGTCTCTTAATCCTGATAAAATTGTTCATTATATTTCCCCGTAGAAAGATGTGCCAGTCTCTGTACATTATACACACATCAGCTTAAAGCAAACCTATATAACAACGAAACTATGAGGTGCATAACACTAGAAGCTATTATCAGTCATCTTCATGATCTCAAACAAACTGAATTTCATGCTTATACTGATGGTTCTGTTCAATTGAGCACCGATAGAACAGGTTGCGCGTGTGCAGTACATAAATCTAATTAAATGTTTATGCAATTCATTTGTTCATTTTTGAACAATGTTGCAACATTAAATGGAATGAGATTTTTGAAAATGATAATGATTTTGCATGAATTTGCATGACTTTGCAGATCGATTTGCCAATGAGGATTTCATGAAAGAAAACACAGACTATGACTTCAAATCATCTAATGCAATTATTAAAACATACAAATTAAAGAGATTACTTAAGATTTAGAAGAACTAAGAAATGAACAATGACCTGAAAGCTGCAGTATAAAAAGCTATGCCAACTTTTTGTCAAAATAGGCATTTGTATGGTCAGCACAGTAACTGAACCAGGCAATGTGATGTATTCATTGTGCGAATGCGCCTTGGCTATAGACACATTTTGCAGGTTAATGAGGCTGAGCCACTACCAAGTATTCAGCTTTTAAAATTTGTGACAAACTTTTAAGGCATCCACTTGAACATTATATTATCGAATGTGAAACTGTAAAAGATTTTAGGCCTCCTGGCCTATTGTACATCTCTGTAACTATTTCATTTAATCTAATATATTAGAACACATCCCAACTATTTATGCTAAATTTGCTTGTCCATATTCATGAATGAAGAAATATTTTTTACTTACATTTCTCATGAATTCATTCTTGCCTTGCATGGTTGCATTTCAAATTCGTAAAATGAAAAATATAAATTATTTGTAATATATTATAACCGCATAAACTATATATGCCCTTCAATCTACAGTTTAGACCTCTCGTCTCGTGTACGATCTTTTGCTATGTTTGGCAGTGAATACAAGCCGCACCTCATAATAAGATTAACTGAATTACACCGATTAAGCAAAATAGTATATTAATTTTGTCATTTAAGATGTAAATTATTATCTCTATCTCTCCTCCCATTTCTCACTCCCAGAAGACAACAGATCATCGAGTAACATTCAGTGAAAGCTATCGACATTGAATCATCGTAATCGATGATGAATCAACATTATGAACGTTGATTAGACTAATAGGTTAAGGTTTACCATGCAACCCGTCCTCTTAAAAATAACGTCACTTTTGGCTCGTATGCGCGCTATGGCCAAATTTGGACGTAATTTGAAATGAAATCGACTCACAAAAGTGACGTACTGTTCCGTTTTCTGTTTGAGTCGTCCGGCCGACGCTGTAAGGTTAGAATAGATGACTTTCAATTCACGTTTTTCATAACGTTTTGAAACTTTATGAGAATTTCCTGCCCACCTGACCTATCAGAGGACCCTTAACTTACTGTTGTTGAAAAAAAAAAATACCAAATTTATTTTCATTTTTTTTTTCATTTTCAAATAACGTCCAAATTCGGCTATACGGGCAAACGGCTAAAATCGACGTTATTTTTAGGAGACAGGTTGTATGGCCAAATGCTCATTAATCCAGCCGCCAAACCCTCTGTTTATGAATTATAAACGTTTACACACGACTCACAAGTAATAATATTCGAATATTTA